AAAAATAATGATTTAAAGCAAAAGAATGTACTCTGGTGTTAATAACACATGCAGCAGTAAAATGTATGACAACAATAGTACAAAGAACAGAGGGAAAATGCAAGTATGCGAGGTTGGGAGGTTCTGATATTATACGTGAAGTAGTATAATATTATTTGAAGGTAGGTTGTGATATATTTATTTTAAGCCCTAGAGAAACTACTAAAAAAATAAAACAAAGTGATACAGTTAGCAAGTCAATAATGGAGATAAAGTGGAATACTAAAAATTGCACAATTAATGCAAAAGAAGACAAAAAGAATAAAAAGGGAACAAAGAACAGATGGGACAAATAGAAAATAAGTAGCAAGATGGCAGATATAAACCTGATTATCAATACTTACATTAAATGTAAATGATCTAAACTTTCTCTTGATGAGCAGATAGGTTTCAGAAACAGACTCCCTCCCCTTCAGGTGGCTCAGGAAAGGGGGTTTAGTGCAAGGATCTAGGCAGAAGGGATGGTGACAACTAGAACGGGAGGCTTGACTCAACTGGCTCTTGTGGGAGCTGGGACCTGAGACGGGCAATCTATCCCGAGCTAAGGCCATACTCCATTTTTTCCAGGAACTAGGGCCTCTAGCTATTGTTGTTGCCTGAGTGTCTGCTCCCCTGGCTCTTTCAGGCCCTCAGCCCACATGTGACCGTCATGGTAAGCACACGCTTCTCTCCCCTTTCTGCACCACAACCTTCTGCTTTGGTTCCCATTTCCAAATGTCAGTGGCCTCTCAGTTTCCCATACTTATATCCTGAAATCTTAGAATGGCCCGGATCATCTTTTTTATCAGGCCACAGCTCAGGAGAGGTAACCTCAGGTCAGAAGCCCATGCTGGTAGGTAACTGTACCTGAAATGGGAGGAGGGGCAGATTCTCATGGGAGTGGGCTATCGGATAGTGAACAAGATTGGCCTTATATTATAGAATTCACAGAAAAAATTTCCATGTGGCAATAGCCAGACTCAGACCTTGAAGGCCTGAACAGGAGCTAAAAGAACCTCAGTTCCCATTGTCCTCCTTGCCCTCTTGGAGAACTGGGCATAACAGCAAAGCATCCATAACTGACTCTCTTATTCAAGATCCTCCTTCATGTCTGATTCCAGCAGAGGAGTCTTATAATTTGCTTGGTTAAATCCTCACCTTCCTGGGGGAGGGGACAGAAGTTTAGAGTGAAATGCTGGTCAAGACAGGTTGCAATTCCCTGCAGGTGTTGGACATGACAAACTGGCAGGTGTTTGAGTAGAAAGAACATTGAGCAACCTCCCCACCCCCAATGAGAAGGGCCCAGGCCACCTCTGGGACTCTGAGTTCTCCCATCCATAGGGCAGGCCCTGCTCCCCTGGGGGCTGAGCAGCAGGGCCAGGCCCAGAGGGATCTGGAGTCAGCGGAGTTGGGGCAGGGCCCCTGCTTCCAGCACCACAGACAGCCCTGCCAGGATGGCTTGGAGCTGCTCCCTGGCCTGGGACCACCCCTGGGAAGCAACAGGCTATAAGCTCTAAGGAGGGCATCAGAACTGCTGGAAAGGTCACAGAATTCTGCCAGAGCCGAAGCTGACATGGCCCCAGAGCAGCCCACCAAACCCGGGGTCAGGAGAGCAGGAAGCCCAGCCCTGCTCAACACAGCCTCCAAGTGACCACACTTTCTTATTCCTGCTTTCATCATATTAACACAGGAATAACAAGTGTTTTCAACATCCTAAATCACATATTTGGAAGCTGTAGCAGGCTAGAAAAACACAAAACCTACAGAGTTGGCCACTTGGTCCGAGCTTTAAGATGTTCAAATTGCCTTGGGACCTGTCGCACTCAATCCTGACCTCTGCCCCACGTTACCAGGTTGTCCTGTCTCAGCAAGGCCAGACACTGTGGTTGTCCTTGTTAAGACACCAGGCAAGTTCCAGTGTTCTATCCAAATGTCGCCATCCCCAGAACCACTTGCAAGAACTTGGCCTTGGAAATAAGCTTGGTAAAGAGAGCTTGACAGTAGAAATCTGGCCAGCTGTAGTGGGGGGCCGTGGAATCAGGGTGGGCAGGACTGCCTCGGGCCTCAGACGGCTGCATCTAGGTGCTTGATCGCTGCACCCCGGGGGGACAGCACTGTCCACTGTTGAAATAGTTCAGACTGGCCCCAGCTGAGGGGCCACGCGCATGGGGTCCGGCAGACCTCCCCGATTCCAGCATGCCGTAGGAATGCTGAGTGAAGCCACATGCCAGCCTCTGGGGGAGCTCCCCACCCACTCTGGTAGGGTGCTGCCTCCTACAGTTGGGTCACCTCGGGCACATGAGCCAGCATCTCAGAAATGGGAATACGACCCGCCCCTTGCCTTGCTCACTGCACCAGACTGTTGGATCAATGCAAAACGGAAGAGCTGTGCAAATAGCCAGGCACTGATAAAATGTAATGGTAGCACCTACTGGAAAGATATTTAACCTGGAGGCCATATTTTATTACCCACAGCATTTGCCTGCAAAAAAGTCTAGCAGGATCTCCTTTCTCTTTTGCTGTACTAGACACCAAATGAGATGCCTTCCCCCTCACTTTGTGGAAACTGCCTCCCACCAACTCATTTGGTAACAGCAATCAGCCCTGGTAGCTACTCTGTGCAATAACTCACGGCTGTGGTTATGGTTATGGTTATGGTTAATTGTTTCAGGGGTGGGCTAACCTAGAAATTTAGAGTATGAACTTGGCAAGAGAGCAGTTGGACTGTCTCTAGGTGGCTGGACAGGTAACATAAACTCAAGAGCTGGAGAGTGGCAAGAGGGGCCAACGTTTTCTACCCCATCCTGGACCCGACCCTGGGGCACAGAGCCCACGCAGGCTCTGCCACGGGGGTCCTCCAAACTCACTCCAATGGCCTCGTCCACTCCTTCCTTTTCTTCTCCCTAGCAGTGGTTTCAGTTTTCCTTGAGCAGTTTTGGTTAGATTTATTCCTAGGTACCTGATGCTTTTTAAAATTCTATTGTAAGCGGCATTTAGTTTTAACAGATAGACGTTGGCCGTTTGGGAAGCTAGCAGTCTTGTCTCTGACTTCTGAGGCCAACTTGGGCCCCCAGAGGAAGCGGGCTCTCAGGCTGCCTAGCTACTCTTTCTGCTTCATTCCTTTCTGGTGATTTGAGTTTCATTCTGATATCATTTCCTTCTGTCTGGAAAAAAAAAAAAAACACAAAAAAACAAAACAAAAAAAACCCAACTGCCTTTAGCATTTCTTTGTGCTGGTGTCAAAATCTCTTAGTTTTCTTTCATCGAAAATGTCCTTAATGTTGCCTACATTCATGAGGGATATTTTGGCCCACTATAAATGTTTGGGCTGATAGATTTCCTTTTAGCTCTTCGGAACTCTTGTTCTCCTCTCTCCTGGCCTTCATAGTTTCTAATGAAAAGTCAGCTCCTTATTGAAGTGTTGTTCCCTGTACGTAAAATGTTGTTCTTTTCTTGCTACCTCTGCAAGGTTTGTCCTTTATGTTTGGCTTCCGATAGTTTGACCCTAATATGCTTTAGCACAGCCTGCTTGATGTTCTCTGAATACTTTGAAGCTATAAATTTATGCTTTCATCAAATTTGGGAAATTTCCAGTCATTAGTTCTTCAAGTATTTTTTTTCTGTCCTATTTTCTCTCTCCTTTCCTTTTGGAATTTCAACGACACGTATTTTAGGCTGATATTATCTGAGAGATCTCTGAGGCTCCATTTATGTTGTCAATCTTTAAAAAAAAAAACCAAAACTCTGTTTCCTATTGGATAATTTCTTTTGATCTATCTTCAGGTTCTCTTACTTTTCTCTCTGTCTCCATTCTGCTGTTAAATTTATCCAGTAGATTTTTCTATCCAGTAGATCGAGGAGTATCTATTTTTGTTTCTATTTACCTGCTGAAATTTCCTGTCTTGATTCATATTTTCTTTTGAGCATATTTTCTTTTACTTCTTTGAGGATAGTTACAATGATAACTGCTTTAAAGTTCTTGTCTGCTAATTCCACATCCAGTTCAGCTCAGGGTTTTTTGTTTTTTGTTTTTTTGCTATTAATATTCTTTTCTCTTGAGAATGTGTTCCATATTCTTGGTTCTTGGTACATTGGGTACTTTTAGATTCCTGGACATTATCAAGGGTAAAGTATAGAGACTCTGGATTCTGGATTATGTTATTTTATCCTGATGAGTCTTTTTTCTTTAAAAAAATTTTTTCCTTCCTTTCTTCTTTTTCTCTTTTAAAGCGGACACGTATCTTTGTTGGACTCCAGCTGCAACCGACTCTTTCCTGGCCAGCACTTCTGAGATCAGTTGAGCTCCTCTGTCCTCTGCAGGGCTGCTTGGCTTTGCTCCACACATGTGTGATGCAGGGGTCGGTAGAGAGGGAGGCAGGCAGAATCTGGGGATCCTCCCCCAGCATGTGTGCTTCCCCTGCGCTCAGGCTTCCACATCCCGGAAGGACAGCACTTCATCTACCAGCACCCCATATGCCATGCTGAGGGACCCCAGCACCCCCAGCGCCCCATGCCAGTCGAGGGCCAGGAAGCTGTGGAAATGGACCCTCTTTCCACACAACTCCCCTCCCACAGGCATGGCCTCCTCACCACGATCTGCCTGCTTCTGATCACTCACGAGTGCCTTCAGATAGTTGTCTTTTACTTTAGTTTGGAGTCGTTTGTATTCTGTTCAGAGTTTTCAGTTACCATCTGCAGGGGCGGGGGGTGGTCTGGTAGGGTCTTTCTCAGGCAATACCAGAAGTGCAAATTCTTGAGTTTAAGTTTCAGCTTCACCAATTTCTAGCTCTGTGACCTCAGACTAGCTGCTTCACTTCCCCAAGCCTCAGTGTGCACATCCGTAAACTGGGGATAATAAGAGCACTCACCCTAGAGGGTTGTGTTGAGGGTAAGAAGAGGTAACATGTATGTCTGGTGCAACAGCGAGCGCGATGAGGGGCAGCTCTTGCCGGACTCCCCATGCTGCTGCATGGGGGGGCATCAGCTTCAGTCTTCCCATCCAACTAGACACTCATCTAATGAGCAGCGCCTATGTGCCCAACACAAGAGATGGAGGCGACAGTGAAGACCTTGCTGTCAAGGAGCTCATACCCTAGCTGAAACCCAGCAGGCAGAGCAGAGTGGCACAGGGCCTCGGGAAGCACAGATGCTAAGTGCTGAGGAGAGGGGGTGGCGGTGGCTCACACATGAGTACATGGTCTTCCTCAAGAGTTGCGCAAAGCTCGTTTTTCTGCTTCAGCAGGCAATTTCACCAGGATGTTTTCAGTAACAGGTGCTTGCGGTATGAATTTAACAATTTCCTAGGCTGGCAGCAAATACATTTGTGCCTGATGAGCTTCTCAGACACATTTTCCCACACCTCTTGTGTTTCCCAGTCCTAGTGGAAGGTTTCCCCTTGGGCCCGCCCTGCAGCCCCCCTGGACAATTCAGACATCAATCATACCTGTGAAACCTGCAGGTGAGGGAAACTCTACCAACTTCAGCTCACTCCTTCAGCTTCACTCGACCCCGCCTTCCCAGGGTTTCCTTCTACCTTTTAGTGTCCTATATGGATACCCTTGGACATGCTTTTAGCTGGGCAAAGAGCTGAGATCATCCCTTTTTTATCCTCTGGGAGTCATACTTAGCCAGGTCTATAAGCAGGAGGCCTCCTGATTTGGTCCGTTCAGGCTGCTATAACAACATACCACAGACTGGGTGACTGACAAACAGTAGACATTATTGCTCACTGTCTGAGCTGGAAGTCAGATCAGGGTGATAGCATGGTTGGGTGAGGGCCATCTTCTGGGTCGCAGACTTCTGGTTGTATCCCCACATGACGGAAGATGCTAGGAGGCTCTCTGGAGGCTCTCTTATAAGGCACTACTCCTGTGTCTGAGGATTCCACTCTCACGACTTGAGCACCTCCTAAAGGCCCCACCTCCGAATACCATCACCTTTGCCTGTTAGATTTCAACATAGGAATTTGGGGGGTGGGGTACCGACATTTAGACTGCCCCCTCCCCACATTCTGTGACTTGCGGGCATTGAGAGACCCATTTTTCCCTCCCCCATGTCTCTTCTCACTCTCTTGAAATTGCTGCTAATGGGTTAGAAAGGAAAGGCAGAGTATTGCCAGTTAGTAGGGCTCTATTCCTTATTTCAGTGAGGTCGTATTACTTACTTACAGATGCTGAGCGTTGTGGTTGGCATGATTTGTCTGGAAAGCACTCTTTGGACTTCTCCCATTTGTTGGGGATGCTTTGACCAGAAGGAAAGACATCAAAATAAGTAAACAAAATAGGACATAACCAGTTCTTTCAGTAGAGTTGGAGCATGTGCGTGGGGGTGGGGCAGGGAATCCATTCATTCAACTTCCTACATGCTGACCATGTGTCAGGCACTGAGACAGGGCTGGTAACACAAAGGTGAACTAGATACAGTTCCTACTCTTCAGGCACTCACAATTGGCGGAAGTGTCCAGAATGAAAAATCAATAGGCTCTAATGCACAAATCTGTTACAATGGAGGAATAGCCAGAAGACAAAGGGAACCCGGAGTGGGTGGTGGGTGTCAGAGAAAACAACAGAGGGGGTAATGGGGCCTGGGGCTGAGCAGTGCTTTGCCAGGCAGATGGGGCTGAGTGGACAGAGGGAAGGGCAGGAAAAGGACAAAGAACAGTAGGCGAAGAGGCAGGGCTGAGGGAGTGAGTGGGTGTTCAGGGTTGTGAGAATCCCAGAGTGGTTGGCGCGCCGAGCACATTGTGGGGGAGAGTGGCCAGAGGGGGGTGGGAAGGTGGTCAGTGGTCAGACCACAGAGGCTGTGGTGGGTCAGCTTAAGGGATCTGGATTGCACTTCGTGGCCCTGGGGAGTCAGTGGAGCAGTGGCCTGTGGAAGTGATACCCGGGAGCTGAGGTGAGAGAGCAGGCTGGGGGAAAGGCAGGCCTGAGTAACCAGGCCAGGGCAAGGACAGGAGAGGTGGAAAGAACGTTGGCCGTGGCCTCTGCCTGCCTCACAGTCAAGCCCAGGGTTGTCCCCCAACCTGAGGCTCCATGAAATGTAATGCTTATTTCTCGGGATGAATTTTAGGGGTGTTACATTTGCTTGTTGTTTTACACAAAAAGCCTTGCCTAAAATAAAACACAAAAATCACCATTTTGATCTACTTATCAGGACCCAAAATAACCTATGTAGCAAAACAGCACAGGCTTAGGGACCCTCTCGTCCAACTCCTGATTTGATGGAGGGTCTTTCAGAAAAGGCTTGACCTGGCCTGAGATCCCTGCAAACAGATCCAGCGCAATCTGACCAGCTCATCTGCCCATCTGTCTGTTGAGAAAGTGGCTTTCAACCTTCCACATAGCATAGTTTTGAAGTTTCGAATGGAATACATTCCATTCTTGCCAAGAACTACTCATATTTATGATTAACACTACTCAGGCCAAAACAATGATGCTGGGTGCAGGGATCTGAAGCTGAGTATCTGTCCTGTGGGTCCCGTTTTAAGCAAGCAGCATCCCATCTCCTGATCAGGTTTGGAGAGCCTGGTGTTAACATTCACAGTTGTGACACTGCAAGTGGCCGCTAATGTCCACAGTGATCAGTAAGTTAGCTGATTGCATCTGTTTATGTCTTACCCTGCTATTCTGAACAAATGATGTGTATTGAGGATTTTAATACCCCAAAGTTGGGCAAAAATGACATTGGGATGAATGAGAAAAATAAAACACTTTGCCATTATAAAATTTTTTTTGGCAACAAAGATTTGTATTAGAGGAAAAAATAGCTGTATTTAGAATAAATAAGCCAACAGGTTGAAAACACAATTTGCTGATTATTGGTGGGCAGTGTACTATTGAATGGAGGAAAGTAATAAATATTATATGTATCCATAAGCATATAGCCATATACATAAACACACACACACACACACACACACACACACACACACATATAGGTATTCAGCTCCGGATGAGAGAATGTCACAGGTTAGATTTCCCAGAATCAGATACTGAGGCAGGACTTGGGGTGCAAGTTACTCTTAGGAATCCACACTTGTGATGGGAAGAGGGAGAAAGGATGGGACAAAGGGAGAAGCTGCAGGGCAGTGAGGTCTTGGCCAATCAGCAGGGAGCTCTGAAGCAAATACCGTCCCCCAGAGTCGTCTAAAATTGCTCTGCCTTTTTTTTTTTTTAAAGTAAACTCTATACCCAACGTGGGGCTTGAACTCGCGACCCTGAGATCAAAAGTTGCATGCTCCACCAACTGAGCCAGCCAGATGTCCCAGTTTTTTTTTTTGGTTTACTTAAAGAAATAATTTAAAAAAAATTAAAATAGCTGCCTGTGCCTTTACATTCCTGCCTTTCTGTTACCGATTGGAAGGGCATGGCCTCGACATGGCGGCTCCTTGCTGCTGAGGCTGACCCTGAAGGAGCTGGCCCCGGGAAGCCGACTACTGCCCACGCTGCCCCTAGATGGGCAGCAGGTTCCTTCTGGGATCTAGCTGGTGCATCTCGTCTACCACAGACCATGGTACCCTTATATTCTTGGTCATTGCATTTCGACTATCTTTTTTGGCTGTTACTCACTCTGGAGTTTCCTTCCCACCTCCCTGTGCTGCCTCCCCCGTTTCTCTCAGTTCCCTTTCTATCCTCCTTGCTCAACTAAAGGCAGTTTGAGGGTAGGAAGATGAAGAAGAAATTCCAGCCCTTTCCCTCCACCTCTCCACTGCTGGATGTGGCTGTGTGCAAATATTTATAGTCCCACTGACCTCCAGTCCCTCAGGCTTGGCTTCAGCTTCCAGCTTCAGTACCTTTGTCCAAATCATGAATCCCCTGAAATAGGCCCTCCACCCAGCCTCTATTTATCACTTTTGCAAAACCCCAAATCCCTATTCTCACTGCTCATAACCTACATTTGGTGCAACACGTATACATTTTTGTAAATCCTTTGTTTTATATACAAGCCTTTGCAAAATTAATAATTGAGGAGTAGGGATATGTACATTTTTTATTCCCTGAAGTGCCTAGATAGTATTGGGTGCTTGGTATGTACTCACATATTTTGTATTGAACCAAAGGAAATTTCCTTTAAGAGGTCAGTTCAAGGGGCGCCTGGGTGGCTCAGTTGGTTGGGCGACTGCCTTCGGCTCGGGTCATGATCCTGGAGTCCCGGGATCGAGTCCCGCATCGGGCCCCTGCTCGGCGGGGGGTCTGCTTCTCCCTCTGACCCTCCTCCCTCTCATGCTCTCTGTCTCTCATTCTCTCTGTCTCAAATAAATAAATAAAATCTTTAAAAAAAAAAAAAAAGAGGTCAGTTCAATATGTAAAGCGGTTAAATTCCAGCCACATACAGAGATTTCTGGCTGCTACTGTCTCCTATCTGAAGTAAAATTAGTGCTTGTGGAGGGATCTAGAGGAGCGAAATGTGGGCATTTAAGTTCATTCACGTTCCAATCAGCAAAGCAGCTATTTCTAGCTACTGAATGGGCTCCCGGAGTCATATTGCAAAGGTGGAAGGAGTTACTGGATCCAAGTTAGAATCCACCACTCTTGAAGCGTTAACCTCGGGAGCCACCAGTCATTTCATTCAAAGCATCAGCAACTCCTGTGATCCAATTTTAGGCTCTACAGGTGCATCAAACAAGGGAAAAGTAGCACACTCCCCACCCCTCTACCCCACTTGGCATATTTAAGATAATTTAAACTCATTCAAAACAGTTGGCTCCCTAGAGTGTAGTGTGGGAGCTCCTGGGGGCTCGAAGACCTTTTCAGGGGGTCTGTGGGGTCTAAACTATTTCATAATAATATTAGGACATTATTTGCTTTTTATTTATTCTTTCTCTCATGAGTATATAGTGGAGTTTTCCAGAGGACATGTGGTGTATAATGACACTGCTCTGGCAAGTAATGGAATGTGTGTTTTGTGTTTTCTAGAACTTTCTAAGGTGGTAGGTTGAGGGTATAAATATGCATATTTTCAGACATTAACCCAGCTTGTTTGCAGTACTTGGACTATGTTCTATCTTTCCTTATACCTGCTATAATTTCTACAACCTCATTATTGTCCAATGCATTGTTTTGAAATCCCAAAGTTTTCCTTGCATCTCTTTGGAAACTCAGCAAGAAATGAGTATACTTTATTGTTATTTTTTGCAGTAATTTTAATTTTTTTTCAGAAAATTTTCAAATTTAAAAAATTGTATCTAAAATGTTTCTTTAGATTTCCTTATTCGAAAATAAAAAAAATCAGAGGTTATTTTTATCATCTGTACGGGTGGATCAGTGGCTTGAGAACAAAGAGACAAGAAGACTCACTCTTTCAATCCAGCCCTGCGGCATCTATGTCCAAAGTAAGAAAATGAAGAAAATAGAACTGAAGAATATCCATAATTATTTGAAAAGGCTATTAAATTCCTCCTCTCCTTTTCCAACTACATATCTACATGGGGCCAGATTTTCTTCATATGTTTTAACCAAAGCAACATATTGCAACAGATTGAATGCAGAGGCAGATAAGAGTAGCTGGCTGTCTTCTATTAAGCCAGATATTGAAGAGACTTTAAAAAAATTACAACAGTGCAGCTCTTCTCACTAAATTTTTACAAAACATTTATATTTCAAAAAAAATGTTACTTATGTTGATGTATGATGGGTTTATTATTTTCAAAATAACAAATATATGGGCGCCTGGGTGGCTCAGTCTTTAAGCGTCTGTCTTTGGTTTGGGTCACCATCTTCGGGTCCTGGGATCTAGCCCCGCATCAGGCTCCCTGCTCGGCGGGAAGCCTGCTTCTCCCTCTCCCACTCCCCCTGCTTGTGTTCCTGCTCTCGCTATCTGTCTCCCTGTCAAATAAATAAATAAAATCTTTAAAAAAAATACATTTTAATTTGTCTTAATTTCTAAAATAATAAGTATTGATAAATCAACAAATAAAAGGTTTGGGGGGGTCATCAATACTTTTATAGAGTATAATAGAGTCTTGAGACCAAAACGTTTAGGAGCTATTGCCCTAAACTGACAGGAACCTAGGATTTTAGGGAAATGGGCTCAAGTGACCTGAGGCATGCATCAGTTAGAGGAGGGAGGTGGTTCTTCTAATTAATTCCAGAAAGAGAAAAGAGAACATAGCATAGATAAAAGCCACAGAATTGCTATACCTGAATGTCTGACGGTGCCTAGAGCAGAGCTTTTATAAGGGCTGGGATATGTCTTTTCTTGAAGAAGTCATTTTTTGGACAAAGAGACCTCCTAAGTAGAGAGATATTCTTTTTCCAAGGTTTTTGTTTTTAGTCACTTAATATATTTAACCAAAAAATTCAAGTTAAGTGTATCTTGGGTCACTCAATGTTATCCTTTTTCATTCAATCACAGAATAAAATTATCAGGACTAAACACTATAAAGTTTTTTACCTGAAAGAACTGGAATCACCCATGAGATGGGGACTATTCTCTCTTCAGAATTTTTCTGGTTTGATTGTATAAAAAAATGTGGTATTAGCTTTCTTGTACTCAAAGAAGAATCCAATGATTTAAGGTGGAATTGAGCTTCAATTCTTAGAATTCCAGTCCAAGTAGCTTGTTTTGGAATCCCTCCATTCACCTTGACCTTCCTTCCCGTGCTGACAGGCTTGGGAGAAGTATGTCCCCCTGCTCTGAAGAGCATACACACTGCTTCCCAGGCCAGGATGCAAGCACAAGATGGACACTGGAAGTCAAAATACCACTTTCTTTGGCTTGATCTGAATTATGGTGTTCAGAGACATTCCTCAAAAGTGTAATATAGTTTCTAGAACATTCCATTAGAAACTGCTCCAGTGTGGGTCCCAAGGACAAGATTCTAAACATCTTGCCTTAAGAGAATGAAAGTACTACTCTGGATGGCCACACCCAGAAACATGCAGGAGTGACAGCTATGCAGTCCTTCACTTATGTCCCACTGTCTCTGGTCTCTTTTTTTAGGAAAAACTTTGGTAATGAGGTAGAAGCACTTCCCTCTTTTCATGGCTACACTACAGGTCATATGAGCCCCACTTCTCAACAAATGGCGGGCACTTCAACTTCAAAACAAAACTAGCGTCTTCTAAACCTCTAGCATTTCTAGAATCAGAAGATGTGAATGCAGTCTTTTTATGGTTTTTTGTTTAAGATTTACTTGTTCATTTGAGAGGGGGGCGGTGGGGGGAGGGGCGAGGGGAGAGAGTCTCAAGCAGATTCCGTGCTAAATGCAGAGTCCAACACGGGGCTCCATCTCAAGACCCTGAAATCACGACTTGAGCCGAAACCAAGAGTCAGATGCTTAACGAACTGAGCCATCCAAGTGCCCTAGTCTCTTTATGATTTAAAGGGGGCATATAATCAGCAGAATGATGCAATAAGGCCTAAAAAGTTTGAGTCTCAATTTCAAAGTTAACAAAATCAGAGACTTTTTACTATAAGGCAGTCAGCTAATTAAGTCATAAGGTTAGAATAAAGCACAATGACTTTTTATTAATGTTTTTGACATAAGGCAAGGTAAAACTAGAAGTTACACAATGCCATCTTGTTCTTCAATTCTTTCAAATTGAAGAGAACAAAATTTTAGGGCAAAAGACCATGTTTTATACTTTTAAAATATATGCACAATAGATACTTAAATTATTTTTGAAAATTAATTCACTCTTTCAACAAATATTTACTGAGTGTCTACCATGAGCCAAGTAGTGAGCTGGGCACTAGGCATACAGCTGGGAAACATAATGGTAAGGTCTTTGCCCTCAAGAAGGCCATAGTAACAGCTAGCAATGATTCCATGTGTAAAATGTGGAGGTGCCAAACTAATTAGACAAAAGGGGACACTAGGGAACTTTTCCAGAAATCTCAATCATGAAAGGAGCCACATTCATTTTCAAAGTCCCAGGCAGCAAGGGATAACAATGTGGATTTCCCACAGGATGACACAGTTGTGATCATTTGTGTTGGTGGTACAAGATGGCTGCAATACGTCTTAGGGCACACTGGAGTCACTCCCCATGCCGTGTGTGTGTGTGTGTGTGTGTGTGTGTGTGTCCCCGGGTCCTAGAGTCACAGCCAAGATTATAACATGGAATGGTGCATTTGGAGAAAAAGAATTAATGAAACTTTTCTATGTGTACTGCCACATTTCTACCAGGATGTAAAAACATGAACTAAATTTATAATAACTATACTTCTATTAAATCCAAAGATAATTCTTTTGCTTTGTGGAAGACTGGAACATCTTATGAGCACTGAAATAAAATCTGAACAGAATTATTGTTGGCTTTATTCTATCTGCTTCCCAGTAATTTTCCGTGCAAGAAGTTTTATAGATTTTCTTCCCTGTGAAGATTTAGAGATCACGTTTCAACATTTTGACTGTGTCCTTCAATAAAACCCCACATTAAACCAACAGTATATAGGAGAACTACGGGCTGAATTTACATTTTAGCCCAGCCTTCAGCAGAAAAAAGACAGACCAATTTGGTAAGGTGCTCTAGGTTTCAGCTCTGTATTTCTACTAATGGAATAATAATGATGGATGTAAGGATAAAGAGAACAATCACAACATTTATTGAGCACTTACTCCATGGCAGGCACTATGCTGTGACTTCTCAAGGACCATTCAACATAGTATTTCTACACCACGAGAAGGTAGGTGGATAAGGTAGATGAAGAAGCCAAGCCTGAGAAGTCAAGAAGCTTACCTGTTTAGTAGTAGGTAGTTGAGCTGAAGCACAACCCAAAAAATCTGACAATAGCTACACAGCTCTGAAATAAATGTGAATTCTTTAGAAGAAAAATGCTATCTAAAGAACTTCTTTCAAGAAGGCCACAGTGTTTTGTTCATGACAAGAAGCAGCAAAGGCCAAGAGAAACTGACTTGACCAAGATGACATGCTCCTGAACCTGAACGCTGGTCTTTCCAACCCCACCAACTGCCAATTCCCTAAAATCTCATCAAATCTCATACAAGGTTTCAAGGGCACTGTTTTCCTTCTTCTTTATTTGAGAGAGAGAGAGAGCGAGAGCATGCACAAGCAGGAGGAGGGGCAGAGGGAGAAGCAGACTCCCGGCTGAGCAGGGAGCCCAATGTGGGGCTCAATCCCAGGACCCCAGGATCATGACCTGAGCCGAAGGCAGATGCTTAACCAACTGAGCCACCCAGGCACCCTCTACCTTTTTTTTTTTTTTTAATGACTTTTAGTACCATGTAACCAGGGTCTGTATTTTCACATACAGTTACCTCCGACTCCATGATTGTTGCCTTCGTATTTCCAGCGTTCATCTGTCCTGGGTCTTACTCATGGGTTTCCCCATTCATCACAGCAAGGCCATCGGATTATTTTCTTGTCTCTTTTTTAAAGCTACCTGGATGGACAGCTTTGTGCCCAAACCATGAGAGAACACAGTCTCTGCATTTCTTCCATTCAAACATGAACTTCTGAGTCCCCTTGAATCTCTTCACTCAGTTCATAAGGACTGAAGACTAGTGATCCTGCATCAGTCCACTAGAGGTTTGGTTCAGTGAACTGAGACTATAACCACAATCCACTTGAAAACACCACACCATACTTGGAATGTTTCTCCATTTCCAAAGCAGCATTCTTTTGTGGCTTCGCTGGAGTTCTAAATAGCTTTAAGGTGTTAGTATAAAAGCACTTCTTTTTTGTACTTATTTTATGTATACACCTTTTTTTGTATTGGAACTCACTAGAAGCTACCCAAAAAACTGAAAGAAAAAAAAACATGCATGCTTAAAAAAATCTCAGCATATGCAGGAGGAAGATGATTTGGACACTAAGTATGAAAACAAAATTAGGGAAACAAATGAAGGGGGGGACTAGAGATGTGTCTATTTGATTTTATCACTCACAGGGCCCTGTATTCTGAATATTCAGGCACAAAACACAATCTACATTTTTTGTATCTATACTATTTGTGTTATACTCGGAAACAACTTTTTAAAGTTTCAGATTTGGTGTATTTCCAATTTTCTCCTTTAATGAAAGATCTTCCTCCGCCTTCCTTTAAATATTTAGTTGTACTTTTAGCATGACTACAGTGGTGCACTGCGTCTTTTTTTTTTTTTTTTTTTTTTATTTTTTTTTTTTTTGTTTTCCTTTTTTAAAACTAGTACTTTTTTTTTTTTTTTTTTTTTTAATTTTATAGGCTTTCC